AGTGTGGGATCTGCAGTTAGCTGCGGGAGGGTGTGCCTAAGAGGCCACTGCACCGTTGGCATGTTCATTGGTAAAGTATAGTGCTCTAAGCCACAATGAAACAACATCCAAAATGTTACCTAGACAACCAAAATGTATCAAGATTTTCCCCACACGTCCTTACCTTCTTTAGGCCTGACAGGTGCCATAAAACTGCGAGCAATTAAAGCAAAAGCTGACCAACAATGGCCCCCTCTGTGCAGGTGGCCAGCCCTCTTTTCTCACTGCTCTGTGGTGAGGGTGCTGTACCTGGGCTCCTGGGTGGCACCGTTTGTCTTCCTCTGGGCTGGAACGGTTTCATCTCATACATGTTGATGGTTTCATACATACATATGTGATGTCTAGCATGGAGAGAATCCCCAAAGTGCCCTATTACAGGCTATTCAGGAGGGAGTTTGCCTTGCTTACTCTTGACTCCCCAAGGCAGTGATTCTCAGCCTGTGAGAGTCAGGACCCCCTTGGGTTCACATATCGGATATTTACATTACAATTCAGAACAGTAGCAAAATTACAGTTATGAAGTAACAATGAAATAACATTATGGCTGCGGGTCACCACAACATGAGGAAGTGTATTACAGAGCCACAGCATTAGGAAGTAGAGAACTACGACCCTAAGTGCTATTGAAGGAAGGGGAGCATTGTTCCTACTGCAGGTCAATAGTGAGCATTCTCTGTGGGAACCTACTGGACCCCACTGAAGGTGCTGGCCACATCCTTCCTAAATAGTCTCTGCCTATTTTTATTCTTATCAAAGGATGAAAGATATAAAGAACAGACATCCTAATTGGCAACAGACCTGTGCTCAGAATATATATATATTTTTTGAAGTTGGGTGAAATGGCAAAAAAAAAAAAAAGTGTTGGAGATTTGACTGACAACACAAGAGGTAGAGAATTCTGGGAAATGGTCACTGACCCAGGTCCAGGTCTGCATCAGTGCTCCTTCTCATTGTCTGACAGAAGTAGCTTAAGGAATGGCTTGTTTTGGCTCATGGTTTGAGAGGATACAATCATGGTGAGCTACAGTGGTGGTGACTGTGCGAGGCAGCTGGTCACATGACCTCTGCACCCAGGAAGCAGAGCAAGGTCAATGTTAGTGCCCATCTCACTTTCTCCATTTTGTTCAGTCTGGGATCCCAGCTCCTGGGATGGTGCCACTCACATTCAGGGTGGCTATGTCCTCGGTGAAACCTTTCTGGAGACATTTTCAAGCTCAGAGGTATGTTTCCATGGTGAGTCTAAGTCCAGAAGAGCTGGCTCTGAAGATAGACCATCACACACCAATCTGAGTAGTTGGCATTAGGATTCTCAAGCCTCTAGATCTTTTGGAATTGAAGCATACCTTCCTAGCTTCCAGGGGATCATTTGATGTTAGGTGCCATGTGGCAGATGTTATCATTATATCTGTGGCTGTATTTGGGGAAAGTGTCAGACTCTCTTGACCAGTACCTAGATTTTTTTTTTTAATAAAAATATCTCCTGCTCTTCTGGTCAGCGTTATGAAGCCATATTCACAGTGTTTGTTCGGATTCTGGCACCAACTGAGATTCATCTATTTCCCAAATAAAATATGTCAAGACTGTCACAAGAAGTCTGGTCACATGAAGCATCTTTCTCAGGAGCCAATTGGCAGTATGTTGCCCAGGCTTGGACTTTGGGATGGATGTAAGGACACAGCCCAGAAAGCACTGCCTTTCCTGTACTGGCTTAGAATTGCCTGAAGCGGTCCTGTGCATGGAATGAGCTTGCTGCCTTCACTCAGATATACCGGGTGACAAGTAAGGTGAGGAGAAACAAGCAAAAATCTTTTCATTCTTCTGTTTGTGTCCCTGCAATTCATGGGACTTAACAGTGAAATCCAACACCAATTTAATGTAGTAGGCCATCACAAGAGTCCCCCCATTACTGTCAGCCATATTCTCATTTTCTCTCTCCCTAAAGATTTCTCTTTGGTATGATATGTAAGGCAGAGTCTAAACGCTACAAGCAATGAGTCAGAGAGAATCCTTTCAGTTATGGGATGGAGGTGTGGACAGAATGAACAGGGTGGAGGGAGTCATGAGAAAGCACAGGTCCGCGTTCTCACCCTCCTGGTCTCCACAAGATGAGTGGCTAAGTCACACCTTCCCTCCCAGAGCTGGAGAGGCAGCTGAGACTTCTACATCCTGATCCATAGACAGACAGATGGAGGGGGGGGGCAGAGAATATGGACTTGGCATGAGCTTTTGAAACCTCAGAGTCCACCCCAGCTACATACTGCCTCCAACAAGGTCTCCTCTCCTAATCCTTGTAATCCTCAAACCCTTCCACTCCCTAGGGACTAAGCATTAAAACATGAGCCTACAGGGGTCCTTTTTATTCAAACCATCACAGGCTGGGATGATAACCATTCCATTTGGAATTTCTACATGAAAAACGTTTCCTTGCTTATTCAAATACTTATTTTGAACAGTATAAACTTTTTTTTTTTAAAAAAAAAATCCATTTAGTATTTTAAGTTACAATTCAAGACAAGTTGTATATCCCTGATCCAAAATGCCTGGGATTGAAGGTATTTCAGATTTTCTCTGATTCTGGAATATTTTTGTCTATATCTTAAAACATCTTAGACTGAAACCAAACATAAACATGAAATGATTTTAGGATTTTATATCCTAAAAGTAACTTCCCTACAATATTTTAGTGCACCCAAGTGAGGTCCGTTATGGAATTTGCCACCTATAGTATCATGTTGGTATTTGTCAATATGGAGGTTTGAAGATTATCTTAGAGTTTGGGTTTTCTGCCCAGGGTGCTCATACTGTGGTACCGTATTCATTTGTTGTTCAATGTTGTTCAATGGTTCCAGCTTTGACCATTTGGAGCTCATTCAGGTTGGTTTTGTGGGCATCTTCCAACAACCCATTCCTTCCTTCCCTCCATAACCTATACTCCAAGGTGCTACAAACCTAAAGTGAATAATCTTTTTCCAAGATACCAAACCAGTACTGTTGGACCAGCAATGCAGCGTAATTTTGAACTTAGGGGCAAACATCAGATGGCATGTTGAAATATGAGTTGGGTTAGGGTAGGGTAGTAGCACCATACTGGAGACAGAGCCTGGGGTCTCTAGAATACTTAACACATTTCCATGCTGAGTTATATTCCCTGCTGTAATGGCGTGAATGAGGAATGTCCCCAATAGGCTCATATGTCTTGACACCTGGTCTCCATTGGTGGCCCTATTTCAGAATGTTATGGAGGAAGTAGGTCACTGGGGACAGGCTTTGAGGTTTCATAGCCTGTCTCTACTTCCTGTTCTCCCTCTGTGTATTCTCTGTGGGGATGATGTGATATCTCTGCATGTCCTTCCTTCCACAATGGCCTGTAACCTCTAGGGAACTTTAACTTAAAATACCCCTCTTTATCTTCTAAGTCATTTTTGGTTAGGGCATTTTATCATAGCAACAGAAAAATAATGAACACAGCAGCCTAGGGTGATTTGCTGAAAATGGATAAGAATCAGGCATCGTCCCGGGAGCCAGGTAAAAGCCTCAGAGTCCACCAAATAGATGGAACCCAGGAGCCATAAAGGCAATGCCCAGAACTGAGTCATTTGCTGACAAGAAAGTTCCAGAAAGCTTTGCTTCTGCCCTGCATCACCAGGGATACTACATAAGAACCACAATAATTCCTGGGAGTTTGCAAACTGAGCAAGCTGAGGAAGAGCACCCTGGGACATTGGCAGACAATGATGGGCCTAGCTGTGGAATGCGGACTTAGGGGGACTGAGAGGGAGGTGATTCATGGGCTTTGGAGGTTCTATAGCAATGCTGGACGCTTCAGCTTTAAGATTATCTCTGTTTCCATGAGAGATGTGAAGGGAGAGTAAGGACTCTGTCTGGGACACAGATGCTGTCTGAAGCTTCTGATGCTCATTCCTGTCTCATACCTGTGCTCAGTAGTGAAACGCCACAAAGTTGGGGTGTGGGTGTGTGTGTATGTGGGGGAGCTCAGCAAGGGCCATGAGCTGTGATGGGTGCTGAGACACAGGCAGAGTCACCTGAACAGCAGTGTACTGTCAACTGTTGCAGCTTGGCTCCTGGAACCCTGACTAGGGGTGGCAGAGGCAGTGAGAAAAGTACGGACACACTTAAAGGAAAGCTGGGTCCAGGTGAGGATGCTTACACTGGTGGAGGATACCTACTAATCAGCACAACCCAGAACCATAAGTGTGTTTCTTATGCACACCTGAGGGGAGGGGTTAGCTAGTCTCCCTAGGCGGTCTCTGTATTGAGCGTCTCAGGCTGTAAACATATGGGAAGAGGAAGCTGTAGGTGTTCACCTTTGCACACACCCGTCACTCTCTTACACTTGGATGCCCAACCAAAGTTTTGCCAGCCCTGTTGAGCCTTACCTGCCAATCTCATGGGGCTGAGATATTGGCGTCCTCCTTGTGACTGTACCCATGTCAACCGCACACTTCAGTCACGGCTTCCTCTGCTCCCTACAGCAGTGAAGAAACCTAAGCCGCACATATGATCATTCTCTAATTAACAGCTCACGGTTGCTCAGACCCAGGCAAACTCACCTTTCTATGTCAGTCCCCAGAATAACTGAAGCCTTTGCAACTCTGAAGAGGGTCAGCTATAAAGTCTACTTTCAGAGAAGTTCCCTAGTTCATTGTGGGAGCATTGCCTTAGACAGTTGCTAGACCTTTCTCCAAATAAATAATTTCAAATATGTCTAAACTTCAAATGTCCTTGCCTATAAAACCAAGCCTTTAAAAGACATAACAAATTACAGGTTTAGGGGACAATGATCTCTTGTCATCCTCAGATTTAAAAGGGTGACCTTGACCACAAAGCCCTAATCCCAGAAGGCATCCCAGTGAGCTGTCAACCTAGCTACATGGGTTTCTCTGTAAGATGAACAAATTCATGATGTCCAGGAATTCTCACAGTTCTAAATTTTTCAAAAACTAAGATCTAATGATTATCTTCCTCAGGGCTCCTTTGATGTCACGATTCCTCAGGCTATAGATGAAGGGATTGACCATGGGTGTCACCACGGTGAAGATGACAGTGGCCACTGTGTCCTGTACTGTGTAGGTGGATGACGGGTGCATATAAATGCCCAGGATTGACCCATAGAAAAGGGAGACCACAGTGAGGTGAGAGCCACATGTGGACAGGGCTTTCCTTATTCCATGGGCAGATTGTAGCTTCAGAACCTTAGAGAAGATGTAGGCATAGGAAACAATAATGCATGTAAATGGTGTCAGAAATACCAGTCCACCCACGGTAAAGACCATCAGGTCATTAATAAAGGTGTCAGAACAAGAGAGTTTCAGGATAGGATACGGGTCACAGAAGAAGTGGTGCACTGCATTGTGGGAACAGAAGGTGAGTCGAACCATGAGGAGAGTGTGCAAGAGAGCATGCAGGTTTGTGATAACCCATGATAGGACCACCAGGAGGACACAGAGTCTGGGGCTCATCATCAGGGTGTAGTGGAGTGGGTGACAAATGGCCACATAGCGGTCATAGGCCATCACACTCAGGAGGAAGCCGTCCATGTTGCTGAATGCTATGAAGAAATAGATCTGGACCATACACTCTGTGTAAGAGATGGACTTGCTTCCCAACACATGGTTCACCAGAGCCTTGGGGACAGTGACAGATGGAGCACTAATGTCAACACTGGAGAGGTTGGCCAAGAAGAAGTACATGGGTGTGTGGAGACGAGGGTCACAACTGATGGCCAGCATGATAAGAAGGTTCCCAGAGATGGTGACCAAGTACATCCACAAAAACATCCCAAACACAATCTCTTCTTTCTCTGATTGTCCAGTGAGTCCAAGGAGGAGGAATTCTGTGACCATTGTCTGATTGTCCCCATCCATGTCTGTGGAAAACAATTTTATCATGCAGTCAGACCATTTGCTAATGTCTGAGCAAAGACATATCGTTTGAAGCAGTTTAGTGATGGGCTGAGAATGAACTAAAACTGAATTGTCTCTTTTGTATCTTAAACCAAATCCTGGTTCATTTCTACAAGTTTTATTTATGAGTGGCTGTAGTTTTGTAAAGTGCTCCTATTGGCTGGTTCCAAACTTGTTTGCTTTCTTTCACAATATTTAAACTTAGTATAATGATTGAAGGAATATAATTCACCTTATAGATAAAGAAACCTATAGGAAGCTGGGTGGTAGTGGTGCACGCATTTAATCCCAGCACTCGGGAGGCAGAGGCAGATGGATCTCAGTGAGTTTGAGGCTAGCCTGGTCTACAAGAGCTAGTTCCAGGACAGGCTTCATAGCTAGAGAAACTTTGTCTCGAAAACAAAAAACCGAAAAAATCAATTGCTTACTAGAAAGAAGAACTCAGGACAATCTTGTGATTTTCCTTTTACTATATAAACACACACACACGTGTATGTTTATGTGTTTGCACAAGCTATTTGTTTTTTGAAACAAGATATTGCCACTGCACCCAGGCTGGACTTGATATCGTGAACTCAAGCTATCCCCCCATACTGAGCTACTCAGCACTGGCAACTACGGGTTTAAGAACCCATCTGGCTACCTTTATGCTGTATTTTATACAGCTGCCATTTGTTGACAGTTTAACCACATGGCAAATTGTTTATCAAATGTTGTCCTACAGATGTGCAGGTTGTATTTGAGGCTCTGCTATATTCTCAGAATTTGGGCTGTTCCTCGGCTTTGATAGATCTGTCTAGTAGTTTTCAACTCTCTGTGTTTTATCTGCCACAAAGCTGTTTAACCCCAGTTCGCCGCTGCTGGTCCACCATTCCAGCTCCCTGCAAGTTCCTCTCACTTCCTACATCCCAAGAGGAGCAGGTATAACTGTAGGAATTACGTTTTAAGGATTTATTTTATTTGTTTTTAATTATGTGTGTCTCTGTGTGAGTGTGTGCAAGTGAGTGTACGTGCCTATGGACTCAGGAGAGGGCATTGGATCTCCTGGTTTGTTGTGAGCCGCCTAACACAGGTGCTAGGAGAACTGAACTCAGATCCTCTGCAAGAGCAGAGAATGCTTTTAACTACTGAGCTATAGCCCCTGAGTTATTTCTGTCTGGAAGAAAGAGAGTTACTGATTGGTAAATGAATGCAGTGTATTTAAAAGATACTTCCCGCAGAAGAAATATCCAGAGGCAGGGGTCAGATAAAATAAGACTACAGCATCCTTGAGAGAATTACTGGTGTTTCAGCAGGGAAGGAGAAGCTTTTTCCTCTAGAGAACAAAGGAGTTGGAAGGAGAATAAGAAAGAAGCAGCAGGGAGAAGCATGGGGAGAACCCTCTTTGGGGTTGGCTAAAGATCTACGTAGAATGGAGGCAAGTGGTGCCTGTTACTGTGAATGAAATTAGTGAAAGCAAGACTACACTGCAGAGATGTGAGCTCATCTTACCTGGACCAGCTTCTAAAACCAGGGCAGATGGCTAGAAGAATAGCAATCATGTAGCCTGAGCACATTCCATGTGTGATCACGGATCACAATGGGTGGACGTAGAAAAACAAACAGCAAGGCAGGCATCAAAGCATCTTACCTGGAGACTGTCTTTTATTGTGGGAGCTCTCTCTCTCTCTCTCTCTCTCTCTCTCTCTCTCTCTCCCTCTCCTTCTCCTCTTCCCTCCCATCCTCTCCTTTCTTCTCTTCACTCCTCTTCCTCCTCATGCTCCGCATGGCTCCCTCTTCTTGTTTGTAAACTTCTGGCCAAGCTTCTCAGCAAGCTACAGTTTCTGAGCCTCGCCCTGCTAACCTAAGTTGATGGCTTCCTTTTCCTGTCTGGAACCTTGCCTTGCAGAGAGATTGCTTGTTCCTGGTGACCGAGAAATGTTTAAGTGTTGACCAAGAGCTTTTCCTCTGGTCCCAGACCTGGTTTTCCCCATCGGTGGCTCTGTCTGCTGTTGAGGTGGATGGGTCTCACCTGCCTGGCCAGCATGCCTTTCTTGCTGTTGTCTGTGCTGTCGGTAACTTTCACACAATTCTCATGTCTGTGGATTCCATGTTTGATGCTGGATTTGGGTCAATTCAGTTGTGGGACATTTCACCGCTGGAGAACATCTAGGAAGAGACGTATGACTCCCTATGGCCAAGCTTTGGTGATGAGAGTAAATAGACCCGCCCTCCCTGGAGATCAGGGTTGCCGTAACTATGGATGACACATGGCAGTACCCCTAGGGCCCATTCCTCAGAGGTCCCCATTAGGGACCCGTGCTAAGAGTTCATTGTTTGCATTCTGTCTGAACACTGAGAATAATGCAATAAAACCAATCCCTGTTGAAGCAATTGTACAAACATGTCCACCTCGCCTCCCTTCCCTGTGAGAGGAGGGGCAGAGAGGAGGATGCACAGGGACGATGAAGTAGCTTATACATCAGAACCAGCTGCCAATACCATGAGAAACGCAGTAAGAACAAAGCAGAAAGTGAAAACCCTCAGAAATATAAGTTTTACCATTGTCTGTTTTTATTTCTTAAGCATATGAGCGTTTGTCTTTGTAAGTCTATGCACCACATGTGCAATAATGGAGGAGGCCAGGAGAGTTCCTGGGACTGGAATCATAGACAGTGATAAGCACCATGTGGGTGCCGGGAGTCCAGCCTGGTCCTCTAGAAGAGTAGCAAGTGCTTTCTAACCCATTAGCCTTCCCTCCAGCCCAGGTGTTTACTGTATTTATACTTCTATCAGAATCCTAAAGTCTTTCTTGGAACATAGCCACTTTTCAAGCCCCAAACAATGATGGGATCGCGACCCTATTGTCACTGGATCATTTTGTCCAGGCACCGTCAACTAATGTGAACATGCTGTTTTCAATCTTTTTTTAAATAAGCTTATGAATCAGATTTAATCTCAGTTCATCTTTCCACATAAACTTTGTATTATTATCCACATATTACACAATTCCAGTATATTACTATTTTTATAAAATATTTGATAGTTTTCTTGAAGCCTCACTAGCAATTTTTTCAGTTCAAAATCACAGTGTGTTTTGTGAACTTTGCTGTTTTGCAAAACTTTTTCTGAGATACCTTTGTTCTTTTCTGAAAACATTCTATCATTTTGTATATTTGCACCTGATTTTTACTGGACCAAATCCATACAAATTATTACTGTACAACTATTTGATAGAATGTATGGTATTAAGTATCTTACATTTTCTATAAGATGAGGTAAAATATATAAGAGCTGCTTAGGAAACTGCAAACCTCTGCACTAAGGCATGATCAGACTCTAGGATTTCTTAAAGTGGCATCACTCAGTGTCCTTAGAATAATGCAAGCTCCTTTTCTGACCCAGTAAAATTATTTTTTTTAAATTCAAACATCTTATTTTTTTTGTTTTATAAATAATACCATTCAAAATTTCCCTCTCCTCCCCTCCTCCCATTTCCCTCCAACTCCCCCACTCATCCTTCCCTTCCCCCCTCCAGCCCTAAGAGAGGACAGGGTACCCTGCCCTGTGGGAAGTCCAAGGCCCTCCCGCCTTCATCCAGGTCTAGGAAGGTGTGCATCCAAACAGATTAGGATCCCAAAAGGCCAGCACATGCAGTAGAATTAAATCCCAGTGCCATTATCATTGGCTTCTCAATCAGCCCCCCATTGTCAGCCACATTCAGAGAGTCCGGTTTGATCACTTGTTTTCAATCTTTTCATTTTGTTTTATTATTTTATTGTTGTGGTGAGGATTGAAACTGGGGCTCCTCATATGCTTCGCAAAGTGCTCTGTCCATCTAGCCTCATTTTTATCCTTCCTTCCTCCCTCCCGGCCTTCCTTCCTGCGTTCCTTCCTGCATACAAGTGTGGGGGTGCACAGACGCAGGTCAGAGGACAGCCTGCAGGAGCTGGCTCTCCTTCCCCCACTTAGGTTCTGGGGATCAACCCAACACAGGTTATCTGGCAGGGCAGCAAGTATCTTTACCTGCTGAGCCATCTTTCCCCCGTCCTCTTATCCAGATGTTTAGAGCAATTTTTTGAAGTTGTTGTTGATACTAGCAAGATCCTTTACAGTGAATGAGTTTTGGTTATGAAAGAAATCCCTTCCCCAAATTTTGTATTTCTTCATATAGCACGATAAATTTTACAGGTGGATTCTATTCTCTGTTCATATGCCATCTTTGATTTTGTTTTCTTTGATAATCTCATACACGTAAATACTGAGTTGGGGGTATTTCCGCAGCCCAGCTCCTCTCACTCTCCCCACCTTCCTTCCTAAAAATTTCCTTACTACATTGATGTCCTTTCCCCCACACTGGGTTTTGTTATAGATGCATGCATGAGCTTGAGTGTGGGGGATATTTTTGGAACACATCTCTGCTTGTCGATAATTAAATCACTTATCCTTACTATGATTACCCTCCGAGAAGGGATTACTTCTACCACTAAGTTGTTTTCTCCACTTATCCTGTTCCTCAACTTTTATTATTCCTTTTTTTTTGTTGTTTAGTTGGTTTTTTTTCATATCATTCTGCTTTGATCCCCTCTTCTCCCTTTCTGTATATTTTAAGTTGTTTTCTTAATGATTACTTTGGATGCTGTAATTAGCATTATGATCTTACAACAACCTCGCCTGAATAAAGTCAACTTAAGATTCAAATTGAGATATCTTGGGTTCAAATGAGTTCCTTTATGTCTCTTGTTCTCCTATGCTCTTTAATGAGGTCACATATTTCATCTTTATATATTGTATGACAACTAATATAAATTTATGATTATTATTTTATGCATTGGCCTTTGGATCACATAGAAAGGGAGAATCGCTGACCCAAGTACAGCAGTCTTTGCCCTGTGTGTTTGCCATCATCACTGTCTAGTACACTTTCATTTTAGCCTGACGGTTTCCTCTTATTACCTCTTTTATTAATATAATAATTAATA